TAATCAATGCTATAGGGACCAAAAAAACATATATTTAGTTATTTTATGTGACGAATATTTTGCTCTTAAATCTTGTGTGCTATTGCATTTTATTGCATTGTATTACCCATATTACATGCATTATTTATGGAATCTACATTGAACGGAGCAACGTGGGATTACCAATTTTCTTTGTGAATTTTTTAACTTTTCTTTTCTTTGTCTTAATGAATTGAATCACGATCATGATGTTTAAAATGAGCTCTTAGTTCTTTGCAGTGAATGTTGAGTGTTAGTTCATTTAAAGCTATATTCAGTTTACATTTTGTTCATTGATTGTATTGACTTTCAATTCAATTTAGCATGTGATTTATTATGCTCTAGAGGATCTCCATTTTTTTAAGGGAAGATTTGTATGTTGTGAAAATATATGGTTAAAGCAACATTTGCGTTTGTTTTTGTTGTTGAATGATTTCTTTAAGTTCACACTTTATTGTCCTCAACAATAAAAAGAAAAATAAAGGAAAATCTTCAATAGATTATGTTCATGAGTTAAGTTAGGGTTCATGAATTATAAGACTTCTATAGGTTAAAGTATTATAGAAATGAAGTATATATGTTGTCAACTAGCATGTTGCCATGTGAACTTTGAAGCGTATAGTTACCAAAGTTTAATTGTTATCATTCTTTATTGCTTTTGAGTTGCTACTTGCTACAACTTATGTCACATGTATTGTTTTTACTATTTAATCTAATTTAAAGAAGAGTTGTTCAAAGAGTAAAATTTCGCAAAACACCTACTTCAAATCCAAATTCATGTATAATAAAGTGTACCCAAACACTAGATTTCCTTTGATTTAATAAAAAGATCAACCAAGGGATTTATCGAATCATGGATCTCCTAGAGTTAAAAGCGCTTAACTTTAAATCTACCTTCGAAATCCAAATTACATTTCCCAAATGCAACATAAATGTATTTCATCTTATGAAACTATCTCTTTTTTTTCCTCTTGATATGGATATTTCATGCCAACTTATTTTACAAAACAAACTAAACTTTACAACCAGCAATTGTCAAGGTTGTTACTCTACTCTCAAATGAAGAATTCCTCCCATGTTATCTAACACATCAGTTCCCTACAAGCATGAACATGAGTAACAAGTACAGAAGTATACTTATCTTTGGCATACATGACATGTCAACATACTAGCAATTTCAAAAGCACACTACACCATAAGTGAACTATGAGAAAAAAAAGGAGTTGCCTCAGGGAAAAGGAATATTCCACTATTTTGATCATTCTCAAACTTCATGGTAGACCTGTAGATGTACTACCAAGGAAAGAATGCAATCACACCAGAGTGCAAAAAATTAATAAGACAAAGTTGTACAAATATAAATAAATGTTCACATTTGCATCAAGAAAGAATGGACATGGGAGATTGATGTTCTGACACCAAGAAAACAACATGGAGATTCCTTAAAAAGTAAATTTTAGGGATACCAAGACACAGAGATGCAAACAAGTATAAACACCCTAAGACGATTAGAAATTAGTTGGCATGCTATCACCATTAGAAATAGAAACTAACTAAAACTTTAAAAGTCACATCAATACATTTTGATCTTAAACCAAAAAAATCACATTCAAATGTATAATCAAATGTCTTCCTTTATACAAGGCTACAAGCTAATGGAGCTAAATTACATTTTTTTACACTGAACATGGGTGAAATCTAAATTGGTGAAGTTTCCGAGAACGAAAAATTGTTGAACATTGAGGGGCTAATGGCTAAAAACTCTAAAGCAATGTACCTATAAATTCCACTGAATAGCAGAGAAAACCCTAAATTACCTCTTTTAATAACCCCTTCGATCTAAAAAATTGGTGCTGCTTACAAACAAAGAGATGATGTTTGTTCCAGAGAGGATTAAGAATCTCGTCCTCAACCTAATTACTCAAGTTCAGCTCCCGAAGAGCACTGAAAAAGGATGAAAACCAGTCAAGTGAACCCTCAATGAGCTTTTCCCATTCAAATGTGCGCAGCCAGATTGCTAGCTTGCCTCGAGGATGGCGCTTACTCAGCACAGGAAGAACAGAAAGAAGCATTGTGATTAGATCTGGCTGAAGAAGAAGGCTACCACCCAGAGAGCTGCTATGCTAAGCAGTTAAATGTTTTGGAAGTATGTAGGTTGTACTAAATAGCCAACATATGTTCAAGAAATCCTTTCTTAATGTTTATTTAAGCCCAAAATGGCTCTTACATGTCTAATATGCAATCTTTTCTGACTAAAATTCAATAAGGAAATTTTACATTACATGTTTTTCACTAAACCAGCATTACAATTAGAGTTGATTAAAACCACTGAGCTATCTCTATAAAACTCTCTTGAAAATGCTAACATATCTTATGTCATTATGAAAAATATGTGAACTTCATTTAACTCCAAACTACTCCTAGTGTTACAAATTGGACTCATTTAATCTGCTCAAATCATTTTATCTTCGTCAAACTTCTTACTTTTATAAACTATAGACTAGAGAGAACTCACTTGTGAACTATCATCCAACTCTGAATAGTATCTTCCTTTGCATCATACTTCTCACAAATGTTATTATATAGGATAGATATGTGATTCGATAACGAAATTTGTTAAATTTGGTATTGTTGAATCAGATGTATTTCACCAAAAAATTAAAAAAAAACTGAATTTTGACAGTCAATTTTGATTTCGTTTGTTTAGGAAAAAGGTCCTCTTCAAATTGCTTAACTTGAAAGTCGTCTCAAATTTCTAAGATGAAGTCAAGGTGTTACGTGGTTTTCTAGCTGCAAGGAGTAGTTCAAACTAAACAATTGATAAGGGCAGCAGTTGTACTAGAGTTCCCAAAAATGAAGCATGTATTTTCTTTAATTGGACTCAACATAAAAAGTAAAGTCATGGAGTTGTAGCTACATGGGCCTTGCATCGCAAGGCAATCGCCTTTTGGTGCTTCGCAACTGCCCCTTGTGAAGGCGTCTTGCATATGGCATATAGCAAGCATAACCTTGTATATTTTTGTTTTTTAACATTTCAATTGCGTCTTTATACCCAATAACCCATATCCCAAAAAAGAAAAATAAGCCTATTAGACCATTTTAGCAAGCCTGATTGAGGACCCGAACTCTTTCTTGTTTAATTTTGCTTCAATATTAATCTTAATTTGACTATTGATTAGTAAAATTATGAACATCGCTATTATGTTAAGTGTGTTAACATTGTGAATTAAGATCTTATTTTCTGGTTTGATAGTAAATATTATTTATCTTAATATATTTTCAGTAAAAATTCATAAACATGTTATTCCGTGTTTGATTCTCTATGTTAAAAAATTATGCGTACGAACTACGCCTCGCTTCAATGGGGCGCGTGCATAGCATTGCGCGCCTTGACCATATGCACATAAAGAGACTTTGAAGATAAAGCATGAGATCTTCAGTTGATGACTATAGAGCTTCTAAAAGATAAATGAGTTGCAAAAGCAGCTAGCGGAAATGACTTTGAAGATGAAGTACGAAGCTAAGTTCAACTAGCGGAAATGACTTTGAAGATCAAGTACGAAGCTAAGTTCTCAGTGCTAAGTATCAAATGCTCAATAGGTATTCTTCATCTGCCGGAATCAATGCAGTGGAGATAAGTGACTAAATGGAGTTTAGCATGTCTTAAAGTGTTAATGATTTAATGTGATTAAAATCGAGGTGCCGCTCACCCCACTGCGTCTTGCTATGCAGGACGGAGGCGAAGCGCCCCACATCTGATGCAGTAGTGCCTTTTGTTCTTCACACGCATTCTAACTTTGTGCAGGGTGCATGTAGTACATAGCCTCGTATATTTTTGTTCCTTAACATTTCAATCGAGTATTTATACTCGATAACCCATATCACAAAAAGCAAAATATATTCATTGGGCCTTTTTAGTAGCCTTCAATAAATGACTATAACTAATCATCTGCTGGATATTAGCCTTGATTTCACATTTGATTTGAAAAATTATGGACTTTGCTACTATGTTGGATGTGTTAGCATTAGGTTAAGACCTTGCATTGTGATTTGGTAATAAGATATTATTTACCCTGGTATATTTTTATGTGAATTCCTAAACATGTTCTTTCGTGCTTGATTATCTATCTTAAAAAATAATGTGTCCAATATGCTACTCACATCACTCGGGCACGTGCATCGCGTTGCACCTTGCACATGTGTGCCTAAAGATACTTTGCGCCTTGCATTGTGCGTCGCTCATTACTAACACCATGTATACTGGAGTAAAATGGCGGTGGTTCTAATGAAATAAATAAGAAAGACTAGAGCAACTAGAGGACCTGATCCATTAATAGAACTGACCTGACACATTAACTTGTGAGATAACGAGAGAAATTTTACATAATATAGCTACAGAAAGTAATTTAGAGTTTCGACAAACTTTCATTTGAAGTATATGAAAACCCTAGATGACTTGGTTCCTTGAGAAAAGGTAGAATCTATATTTCATGGGTACTTCCATCATGACGACATACCCATACCCAACAGATTTCTTATCGTACAGGTCACCAACACTCCTTGGACAATCCTTGAATATACACAATAACACAAATATGTATTAAGACACGTACTCAATTTTTTAAAATATACTTTTTTAATTTAAACCACTAGTTGTACACTTCTTGGACATATATCACACATTTCAGATCAGCTTCCTGTAACCCGTCGGACATGGATGGATTTTTTTTTCTTACTCAATACCTGGTCCAAAATTAAATTTAAAGGGTTGTTTATGTATTTACTTCAAAAAGAACGGCTTTTCAATTTATAATCTACATAATAACAAAAGAAACATAAACCTTGATCTACTTGTAAGTTACATCCTAGTACAGTATAGGATGCAAATCGGTTAACCACTTGCAACTGCAAGTCACTAGGTCAACTATCATAAAGTACTCTCACAGTTCACAAGAACACACTGCAAAAACCAATTCAAGTACCTGTATGAAGTCCACAAAAGTATGAAGTATCGCCAAAGATCTCTCTTCTTTGCTATATGAAACATTACCGACCGTCACCAAACTAGTCGGTTCCGATCTCACACTGCCATTGTAGACAGTAAAAACAGTGACAAAGGAAACGGCATCACTTCCACTAATCGCTCCTCGCGATCTCGAAGCATCATCCATGTTCACAGCTTTAAGCCCTGAAATAAACGGCATCGCGCTTTTAAAAGCGCTGAACCCTAGATCTATCACCATTACTGAAACTTTTATCGAGTCAATTACCTTTGCATTGGAGGCGATTAGGCAAGCCCTGCCCTGCGGCGGGGCCGAGGATGAGGTGATCCGATTTCTTTGGGATCTTTCGCTTCGGGCCGTCGGAGATCCCATCGCGATGGAGGTCGAGTACTGAGAGGAGGAAAGGGATGATGAGGATGAGAGAGGCGTAGAAGAGATAGCGAGTTCGCCATGATTTAGAGAGCGCCATGGCGATTTGGTTTTCCTTTTTCTTTTTTCTTTTTTCTTTTTTTTTAATAGAAAATTTAGAAGGGCTCCGGAGATGATGAACTGAAGAAGAGTGCAGCGAGAGATTTACGCTTGAAGCCCAGGAGCGACGAAATAACGAAGACCCGTCGCCGATAAGAGGCCGACCCGTGCCCGCAACATACCCGTTTAGGAATGGATGTTATCTGGTCCCATATATCCGAACCGATCTGAACCCTATCCCAAACACACCCGGCCGGATACGGATATGGATATGGAAAATTATCCGGATACGGTTTCAGATCCGGATATCGGATCCAAATATCGGATACGGCTCGGATATCCGAATCTTTTATAATATGTAAATTGGTTTGAGTTGCATATGAAATTCTAAACCCGACTGACCCATTTCAAAGGTACACTACAATTTAATTACAGAGAGCACATGTTAGATCTTGTTCTCAAACTTTTTCTCCGCTCCTCCGCTCGCCTATCTCTCATCGCAAGTTTGCTCGCCGCTCTGCCACGGATCGTTCCTCCTCTCGTCTCTCCTCCAATCGACTCTCCTCAATTGTCTCTCCACCACTCGACGCTCACCAATCCTCGCCTCGCTTTTCCCCAAATCACAGTCATCGAGCCCTCCTCCACCACTCGGTTGTCTCTCCACCACTCGGTACTCACCAACAATCTCTGGCTCTCCTCCTCCTCAACCATCATCAATCAACAGAGCAAACTTGAAACCCTAATTTGATTGGTAAAAAAATCTAACTCACTAGCCCTAAACTCTTTCAATATTTCTTATCTTTTTTGTTTTGTGCTTAGGGTTAGGATTTTTTTATTAAGTTTTTTAATTTTATTCATAGATATCAGAAATCATTCTTGATCCCTTAATTCAAGCTTCTAATGAGGAACCCACAGTTAAACCCGCCACTGAACCCCTCACTGAACCGTTACTGAAAAGAATCTTCAAATAAAATTAATGAGAAGCCTGAGAGGAAAAAAAAGTTAGCTTCTGCTATAGGGTTAGATTTTGACAAATTTAATAAAATTAAAAGGAAAATTGTTGATGGAAAAGAGATTGAAACAAAAGTCACGAGCAAAATGTTAACGTTGCCCATTTGAAAGTGATGAAAGTAGTTTTAGGGATGCTACACACCTTAAAAATCACATTGTTATATGCTCCAAAAAGAAAAGACCCAATATTCGTCAACAATAGGTCCAAGATACTATGAAAAATAAAGATGGGACTTGCATATTAAGTAATTATCATTTTGACAATAAGAAGAGTCAAATGTTGCCTGCATGAGCCATAATTGTTCATGAGTACCCATTTAACTTGGTCACACGTGAGTTCTTTTTACAATATGTGAACTCTATCATCCAAACCACAAGGTTCCGAAACGTAATCGAATCACAAAGTTGTGCATGAAAGTTTATAACGGTTATAAACAATCTTTGTTTGATTTATTTGCAACATCTTCCATAAGATTGAGCTTAGAAATAGATAAATGGACATCAACTTCACAAATTTTAGCATATTCGTGCATTATCGCTCGCTTTGTTGATGAATCTTCGAAACTTTAAAAATATATAAATGGTTTTGTTAAAGTTCATGACTCTACTGGGAAGGAGATATGTAATGTGTTAATCACTCGTTCACTCGATTGGAAAATTGATAATAAAGTTTTCTCAATTACGGTGAATAATGATAAGGCTATGATGTCAGGGCCGGCTCTGTGGGAGTTCAACCGGTGCGCCCGCACAGGGCCCCCGAAATTTGGGGTACCCAAATTTTTTTAATTTATATTTATATATAGAGAGAGAGCAAATATGGATCGTCCATTTCACAAACCCCTTAATCTCAACCGTCCAAATCAAAACCCCTCCTTCAAAAGAAACCAGTCTTCACAAATCAGATGATTCAGATCTAGCCGCCGCCCCCTCCTCTCTGAGCTCTCTCCTCCAGACTCGTCAGCGTCGCCGTCGGACTGTCGGAGCTCCGAGCTCGCCGTCGCCGCCCTCGCTGGCCGCTCAGACTTCGGGAATCACAGTCGCCGCCCCCGCTAAGCTCGAATCGGAGCTCCGAGATCACCGTCGCCGCCCTCGCTGGCCGCTCAGACTTCGGGAATCACCGTCGCCGCCCCCGCTAAGCTCGAATCGGAGCTCCGAGCTCGCCGTCGCTGCCCCCGCTGGCCGCTGTCGAGCTCGCTGTCGCCGTCGCTGCCCCCGCTGGCCGCTGTCGAACTCGGAATCAAAATCACAGATTAAGATGTAAGATTTGGGTCTCTTATTTTGGGATTACTTAGGGGTTTTGTTGTTTAATTTCTGTTGTTCATTTGATGCCTTTTGTTCAGTTGTTGTCGCACAGGGCCCCTAAAATCTCAGAACCGGCCCTGAATGATGTTGTCGTTAAATTTGGGAAAGACCATCTTAAGAAATATCTACCTTGTGGTGGAGTCTTTTTTCATGTTAGATGTGGAGCACATATTATAAATCTCATTGTTCAAGATGGACTAAAAGTTATCGTTAAATCTATTGAAAAAATAAGGCTTAATGTTAAATATATGACATTTTTACTAAAAATGGAAGGGAATTTTTATCATGTTGCAAAGCAAGTAAATGTGCAAAAGGAAAAATGCTTAGCCATTGATTGTTGTACAAGCTGGAATTCTACTTATTTAATATTGAAGAATGCTTTAAAGTACAAAGTAGTTTTTAATAGCTTTGAGCTTAGTAATGACAAATACATTCATTGTCCACGAAAGGAGGAATAGAACAATATTATTGAAACATTGAGTAAATGTTTGAAACCCTTTTATAACGCAACAAAACTCCTCTCTGACACTATGCATCCTTGCAATCTTTCATTTGAAGAACTTTGTGAAATTCAACTACTTTCCATGGAATGGTTAAAAAGTAATCACGATACCATTGTGACTATGGCTTTTGTAATGAAGTGAAAGTTTAATAAATATTGGAGCATGTGCAATAAAAGTTTTGCGGTAGCTATTTTTCTTGATCCTGAGATCTATGGCGTGAATGGTGATAAATCCACACATGATTTTTTAGATGTCATTAAAAAGATACGTGGCGAATATGGATCCAGTAAAAAAGTGCAATCCAAAAATGATGAAAATGCTTCAATCTCTCAAATAGAATAAGTGGAAAGAGTTTTTTTGTTGGGTTCGAGGAAACCTTGGTCAACTAGAGCTACAGTTGGGTAATTGGCCCGAGTTCAAACCACACTTCTCTGAGTATTAAGGCCACGTGGTCTTGTTCCTTCAGTGGTGCCGAGGTACCCGCTCATAGATCGTTCCACCAGCAAGGACCTCTAGCTAACCAAGTAAAACCCCCGTCCCCACTAATTAGCATGCTCACTAATATGGAACAATTAAGTGCATGAATGGGGCTTTGAGCTCATGGTAATAAGCAAGGAATTGCCTACCTTTCCACCCGAGCATCCCACAGTAAGGAATTGCCTACCTTTCCACCTGAGCACCTCTAACTGACCAAGTGGAAACTTTTGGTGACAAAAGAAATCGTGATTTGCACAATTTATTGAAACTATTGAGAATGAGCCTACAAAGACCAATTTGAATTTGTATATGGAACAAAGTATTATTCGATGGAAAGAGGACACCATGGGGAAATTTGATATATTGGCTTGGTGGAAAGGAAAACTTGGAAAGTATCATATACTTGCAAAAGTTGCAAGAGTTGTTTTTGGTATACCGACATCAACTGTGGCATCTAAATTAGCTTTTAGCACCCAAGGGCTATTGGATCTTGTATGCAATGCTCAAAGCACTAGAGGGGGGTGAATAGTGCTTTATAAAAATTTCTTGCAAAATTAAAAATAATTATGCAACGGAATAAGATTATATCAACAATTAATAATCACAGCAGATATAGAATACTCAAACTAGAAAAGCACAATCGCAAACACGAGGATTTATCCTGGTTCGGTCCTCCAGACCTACATCCAGTCTCCAAGCAATCCGCTTGAGATTTTCCACTATTCTTGAATTTCCTTACAAGAATAATCATTGCACAAACTTGACAATCCCCTTGTCAATTTGCACACCCTTTTAATGTGATCACTATCATTTCATCAGTTGTTTCTTGTATTATATTTTACTTGCTTTTGTACCTACACCTATTGTTGACTCTACTAGATAGATGTTAATTGTGATGGTGAAACATGTTATTGCATGGTGTGATGCATGGTAGGTTTGACATTCTTGATTTCACCTTGGACTACAGCCTTATGTGAACTCAGGGGCGTCACAGCGCAAAAGAGAGGTGTATTGGATCCTGTATGCAATGCTAAAACACTAGAAAGAAGGGTGAATAGTGTTTAAGAAAATTCTTGTGAAATTATAGATAAATTAGAAGCAGAATATAAAAAAAAAATCAATAATCAACAGTCACAAAAGAGTTAGAGTAAATCAAACCAGGGAAGAACACAATCGCAAACATAAGGATTTTATTATGGTTCGGTCCTCCAGACCTACATCCGGTCCCCAAGCAATCCGCTTATGATTTTCCACTATTCTTGAATTTTCTTACAAGAATAATCCTTGCACTAACTTGAAAATACCCTTGTCAATTTGCACATCCATTCTCAAACCAGAGAAATACTTTCCTTCCCTCAAACCAGAGAGAACATTTCCTCTTCCCTCAAACCAGAGAGAATTTCTCTTGATGAAGATTACAATAATCCTATAAGCCTTGATGTGTAGTGATCTTAATTGATTTGTGACTAATAGGAATTCTCAATATTTTTTTCTCACTAAATCTGGGAATTTTGGACAAGAAGGCTATAAAGAGAGTTTTTCAAAATTTTAGAGATTTTCAAAAGTCAAAGCATAATGAAACTTGTTCGTTATCTTCTCAATTGAGAAACTCATGCCTATTTTATAGAAATCTTAGGTTGGCTTAAAGGTTTCAAAAATAAATTTGAAAACTAAAATATAATAGTCAAAAACTGACTCAAATCAAACACTTAACAGTCAAAATTTGCCATTATTAGTCGACTAAAGTGTGGATAAGTTGACTGGCCAGAGAGATTTTAATTTTGAGCAAACAGGCTAGTCGGTCGACTGCTACAATAACCAGTTGACTAACCAGAAAAATAAAATCAGCAA